CCAGGCAGGTGAGCTATCTGGTATCAGCAAGGACCATCACCAAGACCCCCCCCACCCCCACCCCCGGCTCCTCCCAGAGTTCCCGGCTGGTGCTGACCACGGAGGTGCCCACCTGGAGAAGTGGAGGGCTTTGGTTAAAAAGACCCTGGGGAAATACATTTTCTTTCATACATAAGCGACCTATAAAATGCATAACACAGCATGCCATATTTTTATTATGTGATTTGAACATTGTACTTTGTAGGTCTGTGTCATACACTCAAACGCAAGCTTCTAAGTCCCAGTTCTGGCTCACCTTCTCCGGAGAAGAAGATTCCAGAAAGTCGCTCACTTAGGCATGTTCTCCCGCAGGAGCAGCACTGCTTGGAAGCACTCACTGTCTGCTTCACTAACCAGTCAGTACGAAATTCCCTTATCCAGCAGGAGTCCTGTCACATATGGGTCACGTGCCCCCGGAGGGGAAGGTATGGGGGAGGCGGGAGGGCCAAGCACCGTGACTTACACAACTTCCCTGTCCGTGACCTCCTCCTTGCCCCCATTAGCATCATACTTATAAAAGGAGAGGGGCAAATGTGTATTGGGTGATGCTGTGGCATCTCTGTCCCCAGTGGCCTGTGTCCCTCGTCACTCTCCTCCTCCTCTCCTTCCTGGAGGCTTTCCCAGCCCAGCCTCCTGATCTCCGGGTCTCAGGATGCAGACCCTGGTCACATGTCTCCTAGGACCTGGGCTCTCAGCAGCCTCGAGAGGAGGGGAGGAAGCCTGTTTCTGTCCCCTCCACCCCACAGCGGCCCTCGCCATGTCTGGCTCCCTCCCCGCGGCCGGCCGCTCCGGTTTACACGGGATAACACAGCCAAACGGTTTTTGGCACAATCCCAGCACAATCACCATAATTCCTCCAGCTCCCAATACGGATCAGCGTTGCTTGGTTAAACATATCTGTTTAAAGTAAAAGCCTCATTAATATCCACAGTTGTAAGCCCATTTCACTTGGACAACTGCTGGCCTTATTATTTGATTTGATTTATTGCTCTGCCCAGCTGCCATCCTCCGTCTCCTCTCTACTTAATTTAGCGTCCAAACTAGATGCGCTGTCTTGTCGGGGGTCCAGTCCCGAGGAGCACCGGATGTGGGGGGCCCCCACCCTCATTTTTGCCATCTTTCAGCTGTCCCTCCTCTCTCTCCCTGGCGGAGGATATGCAGGATACTCTAACCCCAGAAAAGAGGAGGAAAACAAAACCAGGCACAACAGAGCAAACAGAGGCTTGTTTCCTACACGGGGCCATGAGGGAAATGGTCCTCAGCGCATGGAACTCAAGTGAAGTCTCTGCTCGTCCCGGCTTCTCCCAGGGGTCTACACTGACACCTCACGGGGTTGTTGGGACAGTCTTCCCACGGACAGATGGGGAGGCGGAGGGGGATGGTGCCTCTCTAGTCCCATCCGTGCTGTTGAAAACATCTCTGCAAGGTCATAGCTCACACCTGTCCTCTTGGCTGGAGTGCAGGTTTCTGTCCATCTCCCCCTGGAGGCCTTGCCATCTTGGACTTCTTTGGAGAAAAGCCCAGTGCGAGGCACTGTCCTGGTTGACCTTCTCCACATAATCCCAGGTTCCACAGCTTTCCGATAACAACACAATGGGGAGAAACCACTCCCAGGCTGCCCCCCACCCTTGCTAGTCCCTGGACCAGTGACTCTCAAAACCACAGGGTGCTGGAGACAGAGGGCTGTTTCCTGCTAGAAGGGTCTGATTCCCCTCCCCTGAAGGTTTCTTCCTCCCCTGCAATCTCTTTAGGAAATGATTGTGGAGGGGGCCCCGTCCCAGGGAGAACCAGGGCGTTTGGGTGGGTTTTGCAGGTGGGGGGGTGGCGTGTGCTGGGGAGGCCTGTCTTCCCCCTTCCCCTGTATCCTCTGAGATGTCTTGGGGGACATGTGGAGGGAAGGAATGTTCACGCATCTCAAGTCTTCCAATGCAGATGTTGAAGTGGGCACTAAAAGTCAACTTCCTAATTGACTTGGGTGCCTCTCCTCCATATCTTGGAAGCATGAAAAGTTGATGTGGCTTGGAACTGAGGACAGGAAGCAAATTAAGGAGCCTGCAAAGACTTGCAGGGATGACCAATGGCTTTCAGTGGGTGGTAGGAGCCACTGAGGGTTCAATGCTTATCAGATTTGGGGACAATTTCCTGGGACGAAAGGAATTAGAGTTGATTTGAGATTGTTGAAGATCAATTCACATGACCTTGCTTGTCTTCAAAACATATCATGAGTGGGAAGGAAGGAACGGAGGAGCCATGCGTACCATAGTCCCCACCCTGTGCCGAGGACACTGTCCCCCGAGAGGCACCTAGAACGGGGCTAATGAGGATGCATCATTGTAGAACTTTCTTTCCTCGCACAATTTTTTTGCTGTTTCATCAAAACCTAAGTGCATTTGTTGAAACTTGTCACGCATGGGGACTCCATCTGTCAAGTATGACAGGGCAGGGGAAAAGATAGTGAGATGGGGGTGGTCCCAGTATTTTCTGAAAGCTGCCATCTGACCTGCAGTCAGGGAGAGGGGCCAACCTTAGAACCGGGTGGAGAGAGAGGTGGTGGCATGCCGTCCATCCTCACTTACACCAACAGGAGGAAAACCAAAACAGAAGGAAGGCCCCTTCATCAAATCACGGAATCGCCTCAGGAAAACACTGACAAGCTGCCAATGTTGGTTTCCAGCAGTGCAGTGGAGGGGTCGCTGTGTCGGGGGGAGGTGAGTCAGGGATGCTGAGACAGCCCCGTGCTCTGCCGGAGATGGTCCTGTGTATTTTCCACGGGGATGAGAGGAGGTCGCTAAGCTCTAAACTGTGTCTTATTGACATTTCACAAAAGATTTAGGTCCATGATCCATGCTGCTAAATGAAGCTGGATACTGATGGAGGTTACGGGACAGGTAAATCCCCCAAGCGACTCTCGTCACCCGCGTAACTGCATGGCTCCAAAACCAGAAGGCGATTTCAGATTGTTTTCTTACTACCACCATGAGATGTCTTTCATTTGGCAAACACAAGCTTCATTTTTATGAAGTTTTTATTTGAAAGAAGTATTTAAATTTTTTTTTTTAGATTTTATTTATTTATTTGACAGAGATCACAAGTAGGCAGAGAGGCAGGCAGGGATGGGGGGAAGCAGGCTCCCCACTGAGCAGAGAGCATGATACAGGGCTCGATCCCAGGACCCTGGGATCATGACCTGAGCTGAAAGCAGAGGCTTTAACCCACTGAGTCAGTCAGGTGCCCCCAAAAAGGTATTTAAATTTAACATGGAGTGTAGTATCAGTTTCGGGTGTACCAGACAGTGATTCGACCCTTCCATACGTCACTCCGTGCTCATGACGTTAGGTGCCTCCTTCATCCCCATCACCTGTTTCCACCTGCCTCCATGACCACCAGTTTGTTCTCTAGAGTTAAGAGTCTAGACAAACGTGTACTTTAAATGGACTATGCTAAGCGTGCTAAGAAACCACGCTAAGATTTAGCCAAATGCCAAGAGCACTTGAGATTTTGTCCCACAGGAATTAGGACCCCTATGGGCTGGCAGCAAATCTGTGCACCCATCAGATTACCCTCTGCCTACAACCTTTTCACCCCTCGGCCTTGGCCGTGGCTACCAGTGTATCTGATCTGTTCCAAAACTTGCTGTTGGTCCTGAACAGGGCTCCCTGGCCTGACCTCCATCCCGTAACCAGCAGGAGTTCTCCACTGATGACCCAGCCTTGTCCAGCATCATTGTTGCTATGGCGACCGTCACTCCTGAATACATTAGGAGACAAATAGCCACTTTCAAGCAGGTGTACGGTCCTGGCAAGGCATAGCAGCACTGGCTTGCAAACTTCTCTAGTTTTCCCCCAAGACTTTTCTTTCCCCCAAGACTTAAATTAGGAACCAAGATGTAACTGCTAAGAACACGATTTCCCTAGCAACCAGAGAAATGTTCTTCCCTCCTGTGGGGAGGCTAAAAATAACATTGCATGTACCACTGTAACCAGTGGGGATCTCCAAATCTTCTCCTTAACATCTCCCTGGACATAGCAGGTGCCTGTAACTCCCTGTCTCACTCATCATCAAGGTGACCTTTCTAAGGCACAAATATCATTCCTGCATAGAACCATTCAGGCTTCCCTTTTGCCAAGGGAGGGGAAAGGTCATAGTCAGCTTGACCTTGTGAACACAGTCAGGGCTCCCTTCCCACCACTTTCCAGAGTGGCACCGATCAGCAATCACTCAGGATTCTCTGATCAGACCATGTGTCTGCCTGCCTGGCTGCCTGCCCTCTCGCCTTCTCTCCTTCATCCTCCCTCCTTCCTCCTCCCTCCCTCCCTTTTGACATAATTAACATACAATTATATTTTAAAAATCCTAAGGGATCAGCACAATGAGTTTTGACAGTTATATCTGCAGGGCAAGATGCTGAACACTCCCAGTGTTCTAGAAAGTTTTCCCATGTCCCTTTCCAGTCAACCCACTGAACTTCATAAATGGAATCATATAGAAAATACTATTTTGTGCATCCTGTTGTGTAAATATGCCACACTTTTTAAATTAGCTTCAGAGGTACAACTTAGTGATTTATCAGTTGTGTACAACAGCTGTGCTCATTATATCACGTGACCTCCTTAGTGCCCATCACCGTTACCCCATCCCCCCACCTCTCCCCCTCAAGCAACCTTTGGTTTGTTTCCTAGAGTTCAGCATCTCTTACGGTTTGCCTCCTTCTCTGTCTTCATCTTATTTTATTTTTCCTTCCCTTTCTCTATGTTCATCTGTTTTGTTTCTTAAAGTCCACATAGGAGTGAAATCATATGGTATTTGTCTTTCTCTGACTGACTCATTTCTCTTAGTTCCATCCAAATCATGGCCAATGGCAAGATTTCGTTCTTTTTGATGGCTGAGTAATATTCCATTTTGTGTGTGTGTGTGTGTGTGTGTGTGTGTGTGTGTGTGTGTACACCCATTTTCTCCATCCAAAAAATATAGGAAGCTTCACAAATTTGCATGTCATCCTTGCGCAGGGTCCCTGCTAATCATCCCTGTGTCGTTCCAATTGCAGCGTAAGTTTTGCTGAAGTGGGCACCATGTCATAACTTTAAAATCTACTTTTCTGTTGATGGACATTTGAGCTGCTTTCAGTTTGAGATTGTAATGAATAGGGCTCTTACGGATATTTTTATACTAGTCTTTTTGTGGATGATCGTTTATTTCTCTCGGCCAAACGCCTAAAGTGGAACTGCTGGGTCACACGGTAGCTGCACACTTAACTTTCCCAGAGAACCAGATGGTTCTCCAAACTGGTTATACCTTTTGACTCTTCCATCACCAGGCATGAGAGTCTAATTGCCCTACATTCCTACTAACATTTGGTATTTCACTGTTGGTTTCTTTTTTTAAATTTTACCATCCTGGGTGGGAGTGTAATAGTATCTCATTGTGGTTTTAATTTGCATTTTTCTAACAATTAATGATGTGATTGTATTTTCAAGTACTTACTAGCCACTTGCATATTGCCTTTTGTGGCATGCCTGTCGAAGTCTTTTGTCCATTTAAAAAAATTGAATGTTTGTCTTCTTATTAATTTATTAATAATATATTCTGAATATAAGCATTTATCAGATATATGTTCTGCAAATAGTTTACCCCTGTCTGTGGTTCGTCTGCTCATCTTTTTTTTAAAATATTTTATTTATATATTTGACAGAGAGAGAGAGGTCACAAGTAGGCAGACAGGCAGGCAGAGAGACAGGAAGGGAAGCAGGCTCCCTGCTGAGCAGAGAGCCCGACACGGGGCTCGATCCCAGAACCCTGAGATCATGGCCTGAGCCAAAGGCAAACGCTTAGCCCACGGAGCCACCCGGGTGCCTCTGTCTGCTCATCTTCTTAATGGTAACTTTGACGGGTAGAAATTTTTAATTGTGATGAAGTCTAATTTATCGGTTATTTTTTGTTATGACTTGTCCTTTTTGTGTCTTCTCTCAACAATCTATATCTAACAAAGATTGCAAAGAGTTTCTCTTTTATTTTCTTCTAGAAGCTTTATGGTTCTATTTCTTTTCATGTAGACTTTATTCATCTCAAGTTATTTTTTTATTTGTGCAGTGAGACAGAAGTTGACTTTACTTTTTTCCCCATAAGAATAGTCAGTATCTTCAGCACTATTTCTTGAAAGAATTTCCCATCACCATTGAATTATTTTGGGAACCTTGTCTAAAATAAGTCGACTATAAAAGTAGGTCTATTCCTGGACTCCCTTCTTCCCATTGACCTGTGTGTTCTTCCCTACACAATAGCACATGGACTTGATGATTGTGTTTATATCAAGTCTTGAAATGATGTAGTGTAAGTCTTTCAACACTCTTCTACTTCTAGATAATTTTGGCCCTTCTAGGTCCTCTGAATTTTCATAAAAATTTTAGAATTAAACTCACTATTTCTTCTCCCAAAACCTGCTGTAATTTTGGTAGGCTTTCCATTGGAACTATAGATCAATTAGAGCAAATGAAAATTTTATTTTAAGACATTAATCCTTCTAATCCATGAATATGGTCTATCTCTCCACTTACTTATATCTTCTTTAATTCCTCTCAAAAATGTTTACAGTTTCCAGGGTAAGGTTCTTGCACATCTTTCATTAAATTCACTCCTTGGTATTTGAATTTTAATGTTATTGTAAAGAGTATTGTTTTATTTTTCAATAAAATAAAATCATTTATTACTTCACCTGTGTGCTTCGGCATGTACAGTTCTAGACATAGGGCATGCCTTTCTCCTGCTACCTCTCCTTCTGAGCATCACCCTCTGTAGGAAGTCCCTCTGTTTTCCTGGCTTGAATTAGTAATCTCATATCTATGTTATAATAAAGGTCTGTGGGGGTTCATGATACTTCAAAGATCCTACCATATTTAACTATGTGTTTATTGTCTGTCTCCTAACTCTAGACCCTGAGCCCTTTGAGAGCAGCAGATGCGTTTTCAGTCTCTGTTCACAACACTGAGTGAAGCAGTCAGCATATAGACTCACAAGTCAAACAAGGACATCTTAAAGTTGTAAAGAATCTCAGATGTCATTGTGTTCAATTCTCTGCATGAAACTCTGCTGTATCTTTACATGTCCAGAATGCAGCCACCTGTCTAGTTTGGGTTATGGCCAGATATGATGCCCTTTATGCTGCTCTTTGCGTCCTTTAACTGTAGACTCATGGGGGCACGTGGGTGGCTCGGTCCGTTAAGTGCCTGCCTTTAGCTCAGGTCATGATCCCAGAGTCCTGGGATCAAGCCCCGCATTGGGCTCCCTGCTCAGCAGAGAGCCTGCTTCTCCGTCTCCCTCTGCCTGCTGCTCTACATGTGCTCTCTCTGTATACCTCTGCCAAATAAATAAATAAAAATTAAAAAAAAAAAAAAAAGCAGACTCATGGAAGATCCTGCCATTGGAACTGAAGAACAATCCAGAATCTACTTGAGTAGGAAAGATCTAGTGCTGAATCTGCCTAGATCATATTTCCTCCCCTTTGTTCTTTGGTTCTAGGTGCAGTTAAAACATTCTCATTCCTTACCTATGAAACATGTCCAATTGGTACCATTTTGCAGTTTAGAAAGTTTTATCTTTACATTTCCCCAATTAGCTTGAAATATTTACATGGCTTTTGGTATTCCTGCCAATTCCAGAAAGTTTCCCCACTCTTATAACCCTTCCTGCAGGGGAACCCCTCACACATGGCCACATGATGGTTCAGTATTATTTATCACGGAAGGCATCTTATGGCCCCTTCAGATTTTGAGAATCAAAAATACAAAGGAACCAGGGGCACCTGGTGGCTCAGTCGGTTAACTGGTTGCATTTGGCTCAGCATGATCCCTGGGTTCTGGGATCAAGCCCTGTGTTGGGTTCCCTGCTCAATGGGGAGTCTGCTCCTTCCTCTCCCACTGCTACCTGCCCCCACTTGTGTGTGCTCTCCCTCCCTCTCTCAAATAAATACATAAATACATAATATATTTAGGAAAAAAATACAGGGCACCTGGGTGGCTCAGTCAGTTAAGCAACCAACTCTTGATTTTGGCTCGTTTTAATCTCAGGGTTGTGAATTCAAGACCTGCATTAAAAAAAAAAAAAATACAGGGGCCCCTGGGTGGCTCAGTGAGTTAAAGCCTCTGCTTTCAGCTCAGGTCATGATCCCAGGGTCCTGGGATCGAGCCCCGCATCGGGCTCTCTGCTCAGCAAGGAGCCTGCTTTCCTTCCTCTCTCTCTGCCTGCCTCTCTGCCTACCTGTGATCTCTGTCAAATAAATTTAAAGAAAAAAAAAATACATATGACATCTCATTTTCAAAAAGGCATTCCAGTCAATGCTGGTAAACAAATAGAAAATATCAATAACTGGGGGAGGGGTCACATGAATCCTGAATTGTCCATCAGATACTTCTTTTTCTTCCCCTGGATATCAGATAAGGGTTCCTCCAGTACGAAATCCACCTTGCACATTCATGCATTCGTTTCCTGCACCCCCAGGGGGTGTCAGTTGTCCGGGCACTCACTGAATACATCTCATTCAGCATATCACTTGACAAATTTCCTAAGTATGCACTCTACACAAAGCCACCATTGTGGACACTAAGTTTCCGTAGGAAGAAAGAGCACATGCTGGAAAGCACGAGGATTGGGAGAACCCTGTTTCTGCATGGCCTCTTCAAATGCGCAGAGAAACGCATCCCCACGTGGGCAGGACAAGTGCTAGCCAGGGCTGCCCTTCAGCCACTCACCTGGAATCCAAAGTGTCCATCAGCCACGCAGTCGGGGAGCAAGTTCTCTGCCAAGCCAAATTAGTGGTGTAGTCTGGCCTGAGATGCCCTCTCTCTGCATGGGGAAGCAAGCAGCTCTGTCCCACTGCCATCCACATCTCATCCACATCTCATGCTCCTTTTAAAAAATACTTTATTGCTGAAAAATGCTAACCATCATCTGAGCTTTCCGGGAGTCATAATCTTTTTGCTAGTGGAGGGTCTTGCACCAATGTTGATGGGTGCTGACAGATCAGAGTGGTGAATGCTGAGGGTTGGGGTGGCTGTGGCCATTTCTTAAAATAAGACAACAATGAGGTTTGCTGCATATCTTGACTCTTCCTTTCATGAACCTTTTCTCTGTAGCACGCAGGGCTGTTTGATAGCATTTTACCCACAGTAGAACTTCTTTCAAAATGGAAGTCAATCCTCTCAAACCCTCCTGCTGGTATATTAACCAAGTTTATACAATATTCCAAATCCTTTGCTGTCGTTTTAACAATCTTCACAGCGTCTTCACCAGGAGTAGATTCCGTCTCATGAGGCCACCTTCTTTGCTCATCCATAAGAACCAACGCCTCATCCTTTAAAGTGTAATCACGAAATGGTAGCCATTCAGCCGCAGCATCCGGCTCCACGTCTAATTCCAGTCCTCCTGCTGCTCCCACCACATCTGCAGTGACCACCTCCACGGTCCTCCCTGAGGGTCAGGATCAACTTCTTCCAAACTCCTGTTACTGTTGAGAGAGAGATCACAAGTAGACAGAGAGGCAGGCAGAGGGCGAGGGGGAAGCAGGCTCCCTGCTGAGCAGAGAGCCTGATGTGGGGCTCAACCCTGAGATCATGACCTGAGCTGAAGGCAGAGGCTTAACCCACTGAGCCACCCAGGCGCCCTATTTTTACATAATTCTTAATGCATGTACCAAAAATATAAGAAGCCATGTCATTTTTTTTCCTAAACAATTACTCTAGAGACATTCCTGCTTAACATTTTCAGGCAAGTTTTTCCTAATAAGATACTAGGTAACAGTTTCTTCAGAGGTAGATAAGCTGTTACATCTTAAGTCTCAGTAATTCATATTTCACTACCATTTATCCTACATGCTCCAAATTTCGATCTTTCACAGCACAGTGACAAAGTTATTATAAAAACTGGACTTCCATGACAAAAAGCCTTTTTTTTTTTAAAGATTTAATTTATTTATTTATTTGACAGAAAGAGACACAGCCAGAGAGGTAACACAGCAGAAGGAGTGGGAGAGGGAGAAGCAGGCTTCCCACGGAGCAGGGAGCCCAATGCGGGGCTAGA